AACTGATGATGATACATAATATGATTATGGCGATGGTGACGATGATGAGGATATTTCTTTTGGTGATGATGAGGGTGATGGTGATGGTGATGGTGATGGTGATGGTGATGATCGTCGTCATCGTCGTCGTCGTTCGTGGTTTGTCGTCGGTCGTCGTTTGCCGGCGCCCGCCGTTGTCGTTCGCCGTCGGCAAAGTGGGGAAGGGGGGGGGGGTTCTTATCCCCTTCCCCCTTCCCCCGAAACATGGAGGGGGGGGTCAGCCCCCCCCCTTTTGAAGGAGGGGCGGGCGGGTTAGGGAGGGGGGAAGAGGGGGAGGGAGCCCCCCTGGTTTTTCTGGCCGAGCCGAATGTCAGGGGGATAGAGAACCCCCTTTGTTCAGATGTGTCGCAGATGCTTCCCAAGCAAGCGTCTGCGAAAGCTTTCTCTCTGAACTCGACATTGTCTTCGTCCGCGCGGTAGTTCACGCCCCGTTGTTGTTCAGCGAGCGGTCTGAATAGAGGTGGGTGGGGAATTCGACCTCATCTTCGTCCGCGAGGTAAGGAGGAGGAAGGGAGGAGGAGGAGGAGGAGGAGGAGGAAGACCAGTGCAAACCCAAGAGTTATCAACGATGTTGGAATAATCCCGCCCTCCAAGGTTCATTGTCATAGGCCCCTACAATGGTTCATCTCCACTGAAGGAATTGCCTCGTTGAAATACAAGCGTTTGAAGACCCTGAAGCATGCCAGAACATTGTTCTCGGGATTTCCACGCCACGGATCAACCAGACTGTTGCGTCTTGGCGATCCTGAATCTTGCCAGAACGCCATTCCTGTGATTTCAACACCGCGAATCAAAGTGGCGGATTCGTGGTTCGGAGTGCCTGGCGCGCTGGCCATGGCGCCCTCCGGGCTCCGCGCGGGAGCCCGCGCGGCCGTGGTGCTGGTCGGCGCCGCGGCGCTGTCGATGCCAGAGAAGCTGCGCCTCGGCCAGGACCTCGGCCTGCGCGTAGAGGAGGAGAGGGAGAAGAGGAGGAAAAGAGGAGGAGGAGGAGAAAAGGAGGAGGAGGTGGAGGAGGGGGAGGAGAAGGAGGAGGAGGAGGAGGAGGAGGAGGAGAAAAGGAGGATGAGGAGGAGGAGATAAGGAGGAGCAGGAGGAGGAGGATGAGGAGGAGGAGAAGACGAGGAGGAGCGGCCCCGCGCCGGAGGGACTCTTGGTGCGGGCCCGCTGGGGCCCTCCGACCACGGAACGCGACGACGACGACGACTTCGGTAGCAAATCATGGGAGCTTTGGTGTACCCTCGCCATGGCGTCTTGTGCGTCGGGTCGCATCGACCGGCGTTTGGGGGTCGATGAGGCAGCGCCGATTTAGCGTCGATTAGCGTCGATCTAGCGTCGACTAGTGTCGATTTAGCGTCGTCGAGCGTCGGTCGAACGTCGACGATCGTCGATTCGCAGGAGCCGACAGGATGGTACGGAAGGCTCCCATGAGTTGCCGCCGAAGGCGACGACGGCGACGGCGATGGCGACGCCACCTCGTGCGATAGCAGCAGCCTGTGCCCTCGGGTCCGTGCCCCCCCCGGGAGGCGCGCACCGGAGGCCACTCTCACCCTGGGCCGCCCCCGCGCTCCGCCGGCAGGACGCCGAGGGAGCCCCGCTGCCCAGGCCGTGGCCGGCGGACCTCTCGAGGCGGCAGGGGAGCAAGCAGCGGCATACAAAAGTATATAAATGTGTATATATAGACATACATATATACACATACATACATGTATTCATATATGGTATAAGAGTAAATAAAGCAGCACCAAAAAAAGTTCATGCATACATGAATGTGCATGTACAGGTATAGTAGATGTATACATATGTATCCATATCGTGGCCGTTTTTGTTTCATATTGTTCGCCGCCGACAGGCGCGGGCCCGCTCCCCCTGCCCCCTCCACGTAGACCAGGTCTTGGCAGCTTTTTTGCCGGCTGCTCTCTGCGACCGGCTAGGGCCTCCTCGGCCCCCAGCATACGCGACGGGCAACAGCAGATCGACTGAGCACCAGCCCAGACCCAGACCCCCTCCCGACCCCCACCCTTCGGCCAGATGCCGAATCTCGATAGCAAACAAAACTTCAAGGCCCAGTAAGGACGCGCGCCTTCATCTAGGGTACCCTTGTGTCCTTGCCTCCTCGGCCCGTCCGTTGCCGTTTTCGCTGGCCGCCCGTTGCCAACAACATCCGAATTTCGGCCTCCAAGGGTCTTGCGTCCTTACCCCCCCGTCCTCAATACACGTGAGGGATGCAAGCAAAACGGTGCCATCTGCGCCGACATTTGCGCGTGAGCTGTCCGCGTAAGGTCTCGCGTAAGCGCCCTCGTCTCCAATGCAGCGTGCCCGGGGCGCAATGTCGCTACGTCATCTCGCGTAAGACCCGCTTCTGACCGTCGCTCACGTTTTGACTGTATATGCGTGTGCCCAGACATCCGGCGCCTCGATTTTTTCGAGACGCGGGCCCCTGACCTCTCGACCACTTCCCTGGGACCAGAAAGCCCGAGACCCCCGACGTCGTGTTTTGTTTCGCAACGTCGACACCCAGAGGTCTGGACCCCTTCCCCAGGACTGGTTCTTCATCCTGGATTGAAGAGCCGGTCCCGGGGAAGGGACCAGACCTCTCATCCTGAGTATGCTGAAGATGAGACTGTCAAACAATATGCATTTGTGTGGGAGTCCCGGGGCCCAGGAGGGGCCCCTGGAGGCAAAGCACAGCGAGAAATTGCTCGTCGCGCTGTTGTTCACAGCGCGAGGGGGGCTGGGCCTCTGCCTCGACTGTTTCGAGACCCCAGAGGTTTGGGTGTAGAGATGATCGACCACGCGCAGAAGGTGGGTATGGGGGAAGGGGGGAAGGCTTCCTAGAAGCACGCCCCTTCTTGGAAGGCGTAGGGGGCCCCTTCTCAGAAGCCGGGGCTGCTTCTCATAAGCTGTACCTGGCGTGCTTCTAAGAAGCAGGTGGCTTGCTTTAAGAAGCTGCTTCTGCTCCTGAGAAGCAGTTAAACGTGCTTCTAAGCAGTTGCTGGGGTGCTTCTAGAAACGGCGCGCCCCTGGCTTCTTAGACGGGCGGCCAGCGCCTTCTAAGAGACAACCGCCTTCTAAGGAGCCTCCCCCCTTCTCCCGACCCTTAAGTCGGACGCGTCCCCCTACGAAAGGGATCTTCCAAACTAGCCCAAGCATAGTTTCGGGACGATTCTTTTCTTGTCGATTTGTGGGAATATTGTTGGGCTTTTTTTCTCCCCCTTTTTTCGCCCAAAATCTGCCTGTAGGAGGACATGCCCGAACTAACCCTACCCCCGTGTGCGCGCTGACAAGAGGAGCAGCGGGAGGTCCCTGCGGATCCCGGGGGCCGGCGCCGCCCCCCCCTCCTCCTCCCCCTCTTCTTCCTCCTCCTCCTCGCTCCTCCTCCTCGCTCCTCCTCCTCCTCCTCGCTCCTCCTCGCTCCTCCTTGCTCCTCCTCCTCCTCCTCCTCCTCCTCCTCCTCCTTCTCCTCCTTCTCCTCCTCCTCCTCCTCCTCCTCCTCCTTCTCCTCCTCCTCCTCCTCCTCCCGCTCCTCCTCCTCCTCCTCCTCATCCTTTTCTCCTCCTCCTCCTCCTCCTCCTCCTCCTCCTCCTCCTCCTCCTCCTCCTCCTCCTCCTCCTCCTCCTCCTCCTCCTCCTCCCCCCCCTGCCCCGCGCCCCTGCGCTGCTGCGCCTCATGGGCCGCCGCCCGCCCTGGCGCGCTCCGCGGGCCGGGCTGCAGGGGCGCGGGGGGGGGGCTGGCCCGGCGCCGGCCCGAGCGTCGAGCAGTGGCGAAGCGCCCTGGCCTCTGCATGTGTACGGGCCCGCCGAGAGAAGTGGGGGAACAAAAAGTGGCATAGACATAAAAGCTCGGAGGTCCGCGCGGATTTCTCGGATCGGCGCTTGGGCCCTCCGGCGGCGCCTCTGGAGCCGCCCCTGGCGCGCTCCGCGCGCCAGGGAGGGGGGTCCAGCGCCGATCCGAGAAATCCGCGCGGACCTCCGAGTTTTTATGTGTATGTCACTTTTTGTTCCCGTGAGAAGGTTCCCAGAAACTCTTGTGTAGTTTCCGCGAGATGTTCTTGGGACATTTCTAGCTGATACCGGCTTCATGCCGTAAGAATTTTGCTTTTTGCTCCCATGCAGCATTCTCTCTGTCCTAACAGCATGTCGTGGTAGGCCTATAGGAACGCCAGGACGGTCGGTCCCTGCTCAAGGGGAGTTAGGCCGGCGCCAGCCCAACCAAGAACTCCATGCCAGCCTCCGAAGGTTTACGCTGGTGTTGGCTCTCCAGACCCGGTCGAGTCGTGAAGTGGTCACAACGGGAGGTGTTTCGCCGTTTTCTGCTTCTTGGGGCCCTCACCGGGCCTCGAGACCGGCAAAAAACGATTCAAAATGAAAAGCCGGTCCTGGGGAATGGGTCGATACCCTTGGGGGCCGACGTTGCGAACAAAATCATATGACGTCGGGGGTCTGCGTGTCCTTTTCCTCGACAGGTGGGGAAGAGGCCCCCTCAACTCGGAGGCCGACGAATTCCACCGCGCATTCGTCCAGAGTCCTGTGGGCGACTACAACCTGACCATCGCCGCGTTCGACCGCTGGACAGACCAGGGGGTCTCCGGCGCAGCCCTCCGCGGGTCTGGCTGGGAGAAGGGACGCGTCGACGAGTTGTGCCGCCTGTACAAGTCGAGCGGTGCCGTCGGGAACTTCTTCGACGTCGGCGCCAACGTCGGCTCCTTCACCATCCCGCTCGCGGACTGCCTTCGGAGCGCGGGCGGCAGGGTATTCGCCGTGGAGGGGATGCCGCCCACGATCGACCACCTCGCGCTGGGCATCCTGACGAACAAGTCGGGGGCGACGCAAGGGAGGGATGGGCTCAGGGTTAAGGCGGGCGGGCCCCTCTACAGGAGGAGTCTTCAAAGAAAGTCAACAAATAGTCAGGGGACGATGTTTCTGGCTTAATCTGTCGAAATATTTTAAAGCATGTTCTGATTTGTTTGCTCGTCCAAGTTCCGTCTGTAGAAGAACGCGCCCGACCTAAGCTATGACCCAATAGCCCAACCAGTCCAGGGACGTCAGGTTTCGCTATCGGGGCCGGTCGCCGATCTATCGGCGACGCATCGCCGATCCCAGGTCGGTGCTTCCCCCCCCGAGGTGTTTCACCCCTCACTCTTACCCTTCAACAGGCTGGAGAACGTGGACGTGTACGGCTACGCCGTGGGCGCGCCTGACGACCCGAAGAGGGTGACCATGTCGCTCAACCCCGTCAACAAGGGCGGCTCCACCGTCAAGGGCAACAAGCCGTTTACCGAAATGGGCGGCGACGAGCTGCAGGATCACTTCCACCCGCAGAAGAGGGAGCGCATGTATGCACCAAAGGTTGTGGTGAAGGAGTACGAGGTCCGAAGAAGGATACTTAAGCCACCTAGGCTTCAACTTTCGGTGTTCCGTACTGATGCCTTGAATCGGCGATTGGCCCCCTTGATGGCGCCTCTGGCGCCGCCCTTGGCGCGTGCCGCGCGCCGGGGAGGGAGGCCCAGCGCCGATCCAAGCAACTCGCGAGGAACTCCCAACGTTTACGTTTACGCCGTTTTGTTGACCCTCTAGAGGTGCAGACCACCACAGGCGACCTCCTGCTCAGGTACAATCCGGCGATGAAGGCCATCATGATCGCCAAGGTCGACATCGAGGGCCACGAGGGCCACTTCCTGAAGGGCGCCTCGCTGCTCTTCTCGAAGTTCCCCCCGTGCGTCATGACAATCGAGCTCATCCCGGAGTGGCTGGAGCGCGCTGGCACTCCGGCGAAGGAGGTCATTGACATGCTGGCCGGTTGGGGCTACAAGGACGTCCCCTCCGTCGCTCAGTTCAAGAAGCTGGGCACCAGGACCATCATGCAGACGGACATGACGACGTGCGTGGAGCGCGTGCGGGCCTACGCCAGGGAAGCCGCACACCCCTGATAGACTACACGTAAGGGTGACCGTTTGCCAGAGCGACCCTTGGGTGCGGGCCCACTGGGGCCCCCCCGATCGCGGAATGCGATGCGATCGTTGCTGCCTGCGCGCTTGGGTTTGGCCCACTTGCGACCCCAGACCCCCGACGTCATGTTTTTTTCATGACGTCGACCCCCAGCGGTCTGGACCTATTCTCCGGGACCGGTTTCTCATGCTGAGTCGTTTTTTGACGCTCTCGGGGCCCGGGAAGGGCCCCCGGAGACTGAAAATAGTGAAAAACCTTCCGTCGCGATTCTTTCACAACGCGAGGGGGTCTGGGACGACCCCACAGCCGCGCACGAAAGGTCGCTCTTGCCCAGGGTCACTCTGGTGTGCAGCCGACCTGATCCGGGCGTGGGGCCGAGCGCTGCGCGCTCCTGGAGCATATATGGCCCCTGCTGCGTGGAGGGCGGCGCGCTCTCGTGCCACCACCACCCCTGCAGGAGGAGGAGGAGGAGCTTGGAGGCGGAGGAGGGGGAGGAGGAAGGGGAGGAGCAGAAGGAGGAGGAGGAAAAGGAGGAGGAGGAGGAGGAGGAGAGACTTACCCCCCCGCTGCCCCCTCCAGGGGAAAACCAGAGGCCGGTTCTCCAGAGGCGAGCACCTTCCTGCTTCCTGTGCGTGGTGTTGCGCACTCTTTGGGATCTGCCTCCCCCCTGGATGGGCGAGCATGAAGGATAGGCGGCGAGCGAGGGGGGGAAATGAGAAGGAGAAGGGCTTCTCAGGAGGCGGCGGGACTTCTCAGAAGCTCTCGCGCCTGGGAAGTGTTATGCATCTTCGGGGAAGGCTTGGAAATCTTCTCAGAAGGCCGGGAGACATCCGGGCCTTCTGAGAAGGCCCGCCCCTTCTCGTTTACCCCTCGGGCGCGCCGCCTAAAGGATGAGGGGAAAGTGGCAGAGGACGCGTTTAGCAGCTGGCTCCCTTCGTGCGTGAGGCAGGCTGCCGGCCTCGTGCAGGCCTGCGCGTTGCCTGTTGCCCCGGTGCGCATTTTTCCGCGAGCCGTTCGGGCCGCTGCCGTAGCGCTCCTCTCTCATCCTTCCATCTCCCTCCCTCCTTCCCCCCGCCCGCTTCTTGCGCCAGGCGGGAAGGAAGTAGGCCCGCGCTCGGTAGTCGGTCGGATCTTGATTGAGGTCCCAGGCTTCGTGAAGGGCATGGAACAGCTTCTCCTTCCAATCGCATCAGGCGTCGATGACCTCCCTCGTCCACTTCTCCTCCTCCCCCCCTCCCGGTTCTGCGGCCGGAGAGGGCCTCCTGCAACTCCACGAGTGGAGGAGGCCCGCGTGGGCGGCTCCTCCGCCGAGGGGCAGCCTGCTGCCTCTGCGGGCCTCCCGCAGATGGACCCCCGCTAGCGGGAGGCCCGCACCAGCTGCCATGGAGGGCTCCCATCGGGCTCTCATCGGCCTCATCGGCCTCCGGGCGGCCTCCGCGGGCCTCCCGCACACGCAGAAGCGTCCCGGGAGGCCCGCAGCGGCCGCCAGGCAGGGCTCCCAGAGGCTTCTGCGGGGCTCCCGCGGGTCGGAAGCCGTTCGCCCTCGAGGCCGCCTGGAAGGGCTCCCGGCCCCCTGCGGACTTCCCGCGCGTGGCTCCACGTGCGGGAGGCCCGCAGAGTCCGCGCGGAAGAGCTCCCAGAGGCCCGCAGGGGCCGCCAGGAAGGGGAAGGGTTCCGCGAGGCCCCTGCGGGCCGCCCGCACATGGAGAAGCCTCTGCGGGCCCCCTCGGACAGTGCTTCTTTCTTGCTTGGGGCATAGTGGGCATTATAGCCCCCGGCCCCCCCTCCCCCCCCTATAACCTATCGCCCCTCCCCCCGCCCCCCCCCCCCCCAGTGCGCTCAGGGCACTGCCGCCGTGCGCGGGGGGGGGGGGGGGGCGTTACGTTATACCTCCCCCCCAGTCCCTCCCCCCCTATAATGCCCATTATCGTCCAAAATAAAGAAACGCGCTCCATGTTGTGTAGGTTCGCCAGAGCCGCCAGGAATGGACTCCCTCGGGAGCCTTCAGTCGGGGTTCAATGCAAGCGGGGGTCAGCCAGAGCGCCCGATCTTGCAGGATCCTGCAGCGTCAGGGGCGCATTGACCCGGGCTTGGGCGCAAGATCCTGCAGGATCTTGCAGGATCCTTCGCGTTGGCCCGGGCTTGGGTGCAGGATCTCGCAGGATCCTGCAAGGCCTAACTGACCCGGGTCTGGATTGACCCGTGTCAGAAGCTCATCCCCTGACTCCCAGCTGCTCGCAGAGGCCCCCTTCGGCGGGAGGCCCGCAGAGGCCACCACGAAGGGCTCCCAGAGGCTTCCGCGGGCTTCCGCAGATGGTCTCGCTTTGCAGGGAGGCCCGCAGGGGCGGGGGGGAGGAGGAGGAGGAGGAGGAGGAGGAGGAGGAGGAGGAGGAGGAGGAGGAGGAGGAGGAGGAGGAGGAGGAGGAGGAGGAGGAGGAGCCCCTGCGCGCGTCGCGCACACGGCAGCGCCCCCGCCCGCCGAGGCCGCCGGGAGGGGCTCCCAGGGGCTCTCGGTGCGGGGCCTCCCGCAGTGTCGAGCCGGTTGCGCTGGGGGGGGGGGAGGAGCGCAGGGGCGGCCGGGAACCCAGACCCCCTCGAGTAATGAAAAAATCATGACGGGAGGTTTTTCCTAATTTTCGGCCTCCAGGGGCCCTCACCGGGCCTCGGGAGCGTCAAAAAACGACTCAGGATGCAAAGCCGGTCATGGGGAAAGGGTCGGGACCTCTGGGGGTCGACGTAATGAAAAAATCATTACGTCGGGGGTCTGGGAAGGGCACCCCGAGGCGTCAGCAGAACTCCCACAGATGTAGATCGGGCTGGACGAAGGGGGGGGGGATAGGGACAGGGGGGGGGTACGAAGTCTGCTGCATGCAGCTGGTTTCGGCCCCACCGAGGGGCCCATTTCTCGATGCATGGCCGCCTCCCGGCGCTGGGAGGCGCCGGGAAAATCAGCTACGTGAGCTGATTCTCAACCCCCCCCTTTGCGATCCGCCCGGCCCGAGCAGAAGCCTCTGCGGGCCTTTTGGAACAAGCGACCATCTGTTGCAGGATCGCAGGGCCGCCCGGAGAAGGCTCCCCGCGGGCCCACCGCGCAAGGGGTCCATTTGCTTTGTGCTGTACCTACGTTAGCGCGGTTTACCAGAAAGGGTTTCGAGTACCACGGAACTGCCGAAGCTGGAGGGTTTTCACGTGTCGGGCTTGGGAGGCGATACTCGTTCGACACTGTTTCGATAGCCAGGGTGCACGAAATTATTTCTGAGATGTGGTCTTTGTAAGTACGACGGGGGCAACATGCAATTCTAGATGCTTCGCGTAACCCCATCAGCCTGGAGGACGGCCGGATGGACAGCTCCCTGTACCTCGGTGTGGCCCGCGGCTGGCACCTCCATGGTCTTCCCGGGCATTTTCTCCGCTGACGCGGGCCTTCATCTGGGTATCTTGCCCGCTGACGCATGTGCGCGGTATTCGACGCTCGTTTCTGACAGGTTCATGGCCTTCGGCGTCTGGCTGCTGACGACGGTTCAGACCACACGGTCGCTTCACTCGCTGCGCACGTACTTGGAGGTTGACGTGTCCCTGGCGTTCACCGACCTGGCCCTCCGCCTCTGATCGGCGCCGCGTGAGTTTTTGTTCCCCTCCGTTCGTCGTCTCCCCGTCTTCTTCGCTTTCTTCGTCGTCTTCGCTCTCTCTCTTTCTCTCTTTCTCTCTCTCTCTCGCTTAGTCCGCGGTGCCGTGGTGCGTCGCCTCCCTGTTTTCGTCACTCTAGCGCAGCCTCTGCGTAGTGGCCCCGTTCCTTTTTCCGTGTCTCGCCGGCGACAGTTGCGCCGTGCTCTTGCACCGACTTGCGCTCTTCGCACGACCTCACGACGCCGTGCAGATGCCCGCTCGCGGTCGCGATATACAAAGAACCCCACCAGCCCGTTGCCTCTGGCTCACGCTTCCGCAGTCGGTTGCAACTTGGAAGTCTCTGGCGACCCCGCCCTCTGCAAGCATCGGGATGGGTTGCTGCGTGGCGTCCTACCGGTCGCAGGCCGCGGGGCCGCAATTGCCCCCGTGCGCGACGGAGCTGGGGGTGCAGGCGTTGTGGGAGAGATGCGGCGGCCCGGAGCTCGACCCCGCGCTCGGCAGTGGAGCGGTCGACCTGATGGACGCGGAGTGGATGGTGAGGCGAGCGCGCGTTGGGGGCGTCTTCGAGCCACGCCAGGCGTTGCCGCCGACGGCCTTCATGCCCCACAGCGCCGTCGCGGCCGCCACGCCTGATCATGGAGTGTATCCGTAGCTGCGCATCGCGTGCATATCACGCTGCTGGCTGCGGGCGAAACACCCAGATCCACGCGGGCACAACCTGCGCATCTTGGGCCAGGCCTTGCAGCTGCTGTCGACCGATGAGTTTCCCGCGTTCGGGGGCCGCTGGAGTGTATGTATGGACTTTTGCTGCATCCATCAAAACTGTAGGGGCCGCGAGAGCGATCCCCAGCAGCACGCCTACCAGCGGCTCGAAGGCTCAGTTTCCTTCGAGAACGATGCCCTCGGCCGCTTCGAGTTGGAGCATGCGCTCTTCAAAGAGGCATTGAGGGGCCTGGGGAGCTTCTACCCCCACCCCGCAACTGTCGTCTTCATGCTGACGCGGTTTCCAGATGATTACGACGGCGCTACAAAGTACACCCGGTCGGGCAACGCGGAGCAGTAATTCAACCGTGGTTGGTGTTTCTGCGAGTCCTCCTGGGCGATGCTGACGATGAGTTATTCCCTCCTCGTGGACCCCGGCCGATCCACCAGAGCGGAGACCTGCTACTATGGTGGATCAGGCTGTGCGGGCTCGCTGGTGACGACCTGCGCGGCGGGGCGCCGGGCGCCCGCCGTGCCCGTCTTGCAGAGCAAGGGGTTCACCAACGGCAAGGACGACCGGCCCAGGGTCGCAGAGCTCTACCGCTCCGCCTTCGCGCAGCGCTTCGAGGCCGCGGAGAAGCTGCACTACGCGAGCCTGCAGTGGGGGGACGAGGAGGCGCAGCAGCTGGCCGCCGTGCTCGCCTCGGGCGCCGCGCCCCAGTTGCAGATGTTCTGCCTTGGCGGCAACCGCGTGGGCGACGAGGGCGCCGCGCGGCTGGCGGGGGCCCTGCGCGCCCCGGGCGCGCTGCCCAATCTGCGGGAGCTCTACCTCTGCGGCAACCGCGTGGGCGACGAGGACGCCGCGCGGCTGGCGGAGGCCCTGCGCGCCCGGGCGCGCTGCCCCAGCTGCGGGACCTCCACGCCGGCGGCACCCCGCTCGGCGGGCCGGGCCGGGCGGCGCTGCGCACCGCGTGGGTGGAGGAGGCCGGGGGGCCGGAGGGCGGCCTCTGGCTCGATTGAGGAGGGCCAGGCGCGGCGCGGCGCGCGGCCGTCCGAGGCGCGCGGCGCGAAACAAAAAAAACACCACAGCCTGGCTGTGTCTGCCGTTGCCGCTGGCCTGTCGGGATTCTGGCCCGCTGGTTCACTGAGGAGTGGTTCAGCCTTCTTGATTGACTATGTGTGTTCCGCCCACCGGAGTGCAGCCAAGCACGTTGGCCTGTTCTTGCAGCCCTAGAGTGCTTATGCTTCCGTGGCCTCTGGTTTCCAGACTCCGCCACAGCCTGGCCGTGTCTGCCGCTGCCGCCGGCATGGTGGGACGCAACCCTACTGGATTGCTCAGGAGTGGTTCCGCCTTCTTGGTCAGCCATGTGTGCTCGTTCCTGTTGGCCTGCAGCCTTGCACGTCGACCTCTGGCGCCTGGTGCGACAAGGTTCAATGTGTCCTTTCCTGGTGGTCTCGCCTCTGGGATGCCTGCACGCTGGCCGTCTGGCGTTTGGCTGCTTTTGCAGTCTTCCCCCAGCGCTCGGCGCCCCTCAGCCGCTGCCCTGGCTGCCCTGGCTTCAGCCCTCGGCGCAGCTCAGCATCCCTCGGCGGTAGTTCAGCAGCCGCTAGTGCGCGCGCTTCGGTTCATTAGGTTTGCTCGTAGCCCGAGCTGACTTGTGACGCCGTCGGCGCCTTCGACTGCGGCTGCGACAAAAAACATCAGACTATCTTGACGGCGCCTGGCTTTCCTGCGCGCTCGCGAACAAAAAAGTAACCCCATCAGCCCATCCAGAAGCGGTGCCCAGAGGAACTGCCTCGATCAGGGAAGTGGGCAGCACACAGAGGACGGGTCCCCCAGTGGAGGCCTTTTGAAGCGACTTGGGGGCCTCTCGGCGGTCCCGGACGCCTCTTGGAGCGTTTTGTGTGCCTTGGAGAGTTTCTTGGGGCCTCTTGTGGGTCTCTTGGGAGCCTCTTGGAGGCCTCTTGGGCGCCTGTTGAGGCTTCCTGGGGCCTCCTGGGCGCCTCTTGGTGCCCGTTTTTTTGAAACGCTCTTGGCAGCCTTGGGGGCGCTTTTGGAGCCCAGCTGGGCCATTTTGGAACCATCTTCAAGCCTCGGCGAGAAAGCCAAACACATTGATTTCCCCACGGTTGTGACAGGATGTTGGCCTCTTCGGGGCCTCCTGGGGGAGCTCTTTGGCCACCTGGAGCCGTTTTGTAACGGTCCTGGGGCTTCTTGGAGCATCGTGGGAACCATCTTGAGGCATCTTGGGATATCCTGAGCCATCTTGAAGGTCATCTTGGGCTTTCCCAGGCGCTTTTAGAGTTATCTGAAGAAGTGCCCCCCCCCAGGAGGCCAACATGTGGCCAACACCTGAGTAAAAGCAATGATCTTGGCATTGCCGCCGAGGCCTCTTGGAGCGTCTTGGGTGCCTCTGGGGGGCCTCTTGGGGCCTTTTGGGGGTCTCTTGGGAGGGTGGTGCCGTGTCCTGGGCCGTGTGGCCGCCCCCGCTTGGCGCGCGGTTGCGCGCTGTGCAGGGCCCCTGGGAAGGGCGCGAGGGCGTGGTGATGACCGTGGGCTCGGCCGCCGTGACGGTCAGGCTCGACAGGCTCGCCGTGCCGAAGGGCAAGATCGTCCCGGTCTTCCTCGACGACCTGGCGGGGTCGTGGGAGGCTCTCGACTGAGGGCCAGCCTCCAGCGTGGCGGAGTCCGCGGCGTTGGATCAGGGGTGAAAAAAAAGCCTCTTGGGGGCATCCTGGGGGACTACTGGGAGCCTCTTGCGGCCTCCTGGCCACCTCTTGGGGCCCTCTTGGGGCACCCTTGGAAGCCTTGGGAGCGGTCGTGGGGCCATCTCGGAGAAGATCGATCAAAGAAGGGGGGGTCCTTAATTAGCGCCCGCCCCCCCCCAAGAGGCCAACATGGGGCCAAAACCCTAGTTTCCTCGCCGAGGCCGTGTTTGGACGCTCCGACTCCTCGCGGCCCCCCCCGTCCAAGTCCAGGGGAGAGGGCAGAGGGAGGGGTAACCCCTCCCCGAAGGGGAAGAAAAGGGTTTGGAAGAGGAGCAGCCCTAAACCACCTACGCCCAGAGGGCTGGTGGGATTTTCTGTTGGTTCGCAGAGGCCGCCAGGAAGGGCTCCCAGAGACATTTGCGGACCGCCTGCGCATGAGGCAATCTGCGGTGAGGCCCGCAGAAGCCACCAGGATGTGTTCCCAGGGGCCTCTCCGGACCTCTCGCAGATTGACATGTTTGCGCGGGTCGTGCCGAAATGGAGCCCTCTTGCCGTAGATTCGCAAGGGCCGCCATGAAGGGCTCCCAGATGCCTCTTCGGACCTCGTGTCTTTATGAAAAGAATGCAGTGCGCGTTGGCTTCGCACTGGCCATCCGGGCAAGATCACCCAGAGGACGCTGGCTGGCCTCCCGCACATGGAGCAGTCTGCGGGAGGCCCGCAGGGGCCGCCAGGACGGGTTCCCGGAGACCTCTGCGGGCTTGCCGCACACAGGGCCATTTGCTGGAGGCCCGCAGGGGCCCGCAGAGGCCGCCAGGAGGGGCTCCCAGAGGGAAGGGCTCCCAGAGGCCCCCTGCGGGCCTGCCGCCAGTACTGAACCTTCCATCGGCGGGAGGCCCGCAGAGGCCGCCAGGCAGGGACTCCCATAGGCCTCTGCGGGTACGCCGCAAATGGCGCCATTTGCGGGAGGCCCGCAGAGGCCGCCAGGAAGGGCTCCCAGATGCCTCTGCGGGCCTCCCGCAAATGGCGCTATTTGCGGCGTATCCGCAGAGGCCGCCAAGAAGAGTTCCGAGCCGCATGCGCAGACCGTCCGCAAATGCGAAGCAAGTTGAGGGAGGCCCGCAGAGGCCGCCAGGGATGGCTCCCAGAGGCCCCTGCGGACCTTCCGCACATTGAGCCATTGGTTGTAGGCCCGCAGAGGCCGCCAAAAAGGTCTCTCAAACGCTTCTGCGGAACTCCAGCAACCGGCTCCAGTTGTCTGAGGCCAGTCGAGGCCGTCGGGGAAGGGTTTCTATAGAGACCTGCTGCGGACTTGCGGAATGCCTACATTGGCGGGAGGCCCGCAGCGGCTTATCCATGTGCGGGGGGGGGGGCCCGTAGAAGCTTCTGGGAGCTCTCCCGGGCGGCCTCCGCGGGCCTCGATGCGCGCGAGCCCCGCAGGGGGCCTCTGCGGAGCCCTTCGCCGGCGGCCTCCGCGGACAGCCCGCGCCTGGCTCCGCCTGCGGGAGGCCAGCGGAGGCCTCTGGGAGCCCTCCCTGGCGGCATCGGCGGCCCACCCGCACGCGCAGCCTGATCCGCGGGAGGCGCGCCGGAGGGGGTGGCCCCCGGGAGCCGTTCCCGGCGGCCCCTGCGGGCCTCCCGCACGCAAACGGTCTCGTCTGCGGCAGGCCTGCAGGGCCCCGTCCGGGTGGCCCACCTGGCCCGCAGAGCCCTCTGGGAACTCCTCCTCCTCCTCCTCCTCCCTCCCCTCCTCCTCTTCCTCCTCTTCCTCCTCCTCCTCTCCTCCTCCTCCCTCCTCAATCAGCATCAGCATCAGCATCAGCATCAGCAGCATCATCATCGTCATCATCATCATCACCATCATCATCATCACATCGTCATCATCATCATCATCAATCGTCGTCATCATCATCATCATCATCAGCATCAGCATCAGCATCAGCATCAGCATCAGCATCACATCAGCATCAGCATCATCATCAGCATCAGCATCGCATCATCATCAGCATCATCAGCATCATCATCAGCATCAGCATCAGCATCAGCATCATCATCAGCATCAGCATCAGCGTCAGCATCATCATCATCATCAGCATCATCAGCATCATCGTCATCAGCATCACACATCAGCATCACATCACATCATCATCGTCATCAGCATCATCAGCATCAGCATCAGCATCAGCATCATCATCATCATCATCATCATCAGCATCATCATCAGCATCAGCATCGCATCAGCATCAGCATCAGCATCAGCATCAGCATCACAACAGCATCAGCATCAGCATCAGCATCACATCATCATCATCATCATCAGCATCAGCTCAGCATCGTCCATCAGCATCAGCATCAGCGTCACATGCACATCATCATCATCATCATCATCATCATCACATCAGCATCAGCATCCATCATCATCACATCACATCAGCATCATCATCATCATCATCATCATCATCATCATCATCATCAGCATCATCATCATCACCATCAACATCATCATCATCATCATCATCATCATCATCATCATCATCATCATCATCATCATCATCATCATCATCGCCTCCGTCTCCTCCCCCTCCCCCTCCTCCTCCTTCTTCTCCTTCTCCCCCTCCTTCTCCTCGTCCTGCCCGCCCCTGCGGCTCCCCCAACAAACGGCCCAACGTGCTGCAGGTCCGCAGAGGCTAGTCCATTGGCGGGAGGTCCGCAGAGGCATCGGCCTATGCGAGTTTTTCGCAAAGTGCATTTCTGAGAGGTCCGCAGATGCCTCTGGGATTCCTGCCTGGCGGCCCCTGTGGGCCTCCGGCAGCTGGAATTCCATTCGCGGGAGGTCCGCAAATGCCTCTGGGAGCCCTTCCTGGCGGCCTGCGCTGGCCTCCCGCAAGTGGTTTCATTCGCGAGAGGCCCGCAGGGGGCCTCTGTGGGCCCTTCCTGGCGGCCGCTGTGGGCTTCTCGCAAGGACATGGCCGCATGTGTGGGGGGGGGTCGCAGAGGTCTCTAGTGGCCGTTCTTGGCTGCGTCCGCGAAGCATTCTCTTCGAGGGGCCTGCAGAGGCTTGTCAATCTGCGGGAGCGCCGCAGAGGCCTCTGTGAGCCCTGCCTGCCGGTCCCTGTGGGCCTCCCCCAAATGGTTCCATGGGCGGGAGGCCGGCAGAGGCCGCTGGGAGGGGGGCCCCTGCAAACATCCCGCCACTGGCTCTACTCGCGGGAGGCCAGCAGAGGCCTCTGGGAGCCCTTCCTGGCGGGCTCTCTGGACATCTGCGTGCGGGAGGCCAGCCGGGGCCTTTGGGAGCCCTTCCTGGCGGGCTCTGCGGACATCCAGCAAATCGCTCCATTTGCGGCAAGCTTGGATGGGGCCTCTGGGAGCCAATCCTGGCGGCCTCTGCGCGCCTCTTGAAAATGGCTGTCCACAGTTTGCGGAGTGCCCGAGGGGGCTTCTGGGAGCCTTTCTTGGCGACCTCTGCGGGCCTCCTACACATGGCTTGCCACGTGCCAGGGGGCGTCCATGTGCGGGAGGCCCGCGACTGTTCTTCTTGGCGGCCCCATGCGCCCCGCCCCCAAAAAATGCCAGAGCTTTCGATGGGCCTGCAGAAGCTCGCCTATTTGCGGGATGCCCGCGGAGGCCTCCGTGAGCCCTTCCTGGCAGCCTCTGCGGTCCTCCCGCAAGTCTTCAATCTGCGGAGGGGGGCGGGTGCAGAGGCATTTGGTAGCCCTTCCTGGCGGCTTCTGCGAACTTGCAGCGTAGGGTTTTACGCTCAAGACACCCGCGAAGGCCCGCAGAGGCCCCTGGGAGCCCTTCCTGGCGGCACCCGCCGGCCTTCCGCAAATAGCTTCTTTCGCGGGAGGCCACCAGAGGCCTTTGGGAGCCCTTCCTTGCGGCTGGCCCGCAGCGACCTCTGGGAGCCCTTCATGGCGGCCCCCGCGGGCCTCTCCCAAATGGCTTCATGTGCGGGAGGCCCGCATAAGGCCGCTGAGAGCCCTTCCTGGCGGCCCCTGCCGGCCTCCCGCAAATGGACCTGAACTTGCGGGAGGCCCGCAGGGGCGGCTGGCTGCCTCTGAGGAGCCGCCAACGCGGGCCCCCTTCAATCGGCTAATTTGCAGGAGCTCTTGTCCAGGACCTTCACAGGGTTCCCCCCCTCACCCGATCCATGGTCTCGTCTCCCAGCACCCCGTCCCGTCCCCTCCCCCTTTCCCCACACGCCCATTGATCTTGTTGTCCCTGTTCTCCCTGATCCGCCTCCTCCTGACCATGATCATACTGATTCTCCAGTCCCTGCTCTCCCTCATCCTCGGTGTTCTCCTCCGCCTTGCCATCGTCATCACCATAATCATTCTTGACAGTATCCTCATCTTCATGCTTTTCGACGTGTTTCTCCTGTTTGACAGCTGGCCTTCTGCTAACTTTGTGTGTTTGCATTTTCGTGCGTGTATATATATACATATATATATATATATGCCGGCGGAACAGGAGCGAGGCCGCCAGGAGTGGACCTGCGCCCCCCATGGGGGCTCCGGGGCTCACTTTCCATGTGTTTTTACCGGGTTTCGGCGTTCCAGGGCCTGCGCGAGGCCGCCAGGAGTGGACCTGCGCCCCCCATGGGGGCTCCGGGGCTCACTTCCCTTGTGTTTTTAAAGGGTTTGGGCGTTCCAGGGCCTCCGAGGCGCCAGCGTTCCAGGGCCTCCGAGGCGCCAGCGACGGTTCCAGGGGGCTCCGGGGCTCACTTCCCTTGTGTTTGTACAGGGTTTCGGCGTTTCAGGGCCTCCGAGGCCATCTTCCTTGTCCTCCTCCTCCTCCTCCTCCTCCTCCTCCTCCTCCAGCTCCTCCTCCTCCAGCTCCTCCTCCTCCAGCTCCTCCTCCTCCGTCCTCCTCCTCCTCCTCCTCCTCCTCCTCCTCCTCCTCCTCCGCCTCCTCCTCCCCCCTCACCTCCACCTCTCCCTCCTCCTCCTCCTCCTCCTCCTCCTCCTCCTCCTCCTCCTCCTCCTCTTCTCGTCGTCCTCCTCCTC